GCACCCCAGCCTCTGTAAAAAGCATCACGACCAATTCATTTTCTAACCACCCAGTTGCTGAATTTCACGCCATCCCCACGAGTGGCAGATCGGCTCAGGTGCTGGGTTTCATTCCTTTTTCATCCCTAATCTTGGCAGTCCCCTTATCACCTGGTGACAACAGAGCATGGAAGCGCAAGGGAAGGGGGGGTGGCTGAGCTGAAATTAAAAAGAAATATTAACCACCACACGAGAAAACTTGCCAGGACAGTTCATAGCAAATTGTTGATGCGGTGATGCTCAGAAGGAAAGCGTGAACTGCAGTTTAGACTATAGCCTGGGATGAGTGTGGTTGCTCACAGGAGGTGTGACCCGGTGTAGCAGCAGGGTGAGCCCTTGCTGGAGGGGAACGGTGCCACACTCTCACAGCCAGTGCTGCCACCAAGATTTATACTCTCGTGGTCCCCCCAGCCCTCCTCTCAGCCTGCACAGCAGTGGGACTATAATATTCACTGTAACTCTGGAGCTTGCACAGCATCTTGCCAGCAGCAGGATCCTGGAGAAACCCCGGGGCAACAGAGGGTCCCCAGGGGCTCCTGCGAGGATCGCTGGGTGCTTTGATCGCGATGAGCTGGGGGCCACTGGAGCACCGTGACCCCATCGCTCAGCCGTGATGGGAAACGTCCAGCCGAGCAACTGGTGGACGACGGGCACAGCAGCGTGGCCACGGATGCCATCAGCTGTGCAAAGGTTGTGCTGTGCCTGCCTCCCTCGCCTTCAGCCCGCCGCAGGGCCGCTCGGCTCCGCTCTTCAGCTCCGTTGTGAAAGGCTCACGCCGTAATGAATAACGCTGCTTTGCAATTATGCACTTTGCAGGCCTCTGATGAAAGTACTTTAGAAATATTATACATTCATCTGTAAGTAAAATGGAATCTACTGGAGTGATATTTTGCTCTTTTCTTCTCTGGGTAAATTCCACATCATTTATTACATTATATTTGTATGTATTTCCCCAGTACATTCTTTCCTTTTAAAATTAATATTTAAAATGCCATATAAATAAAGTAACTCCTCCAAATATTTGTAGAAGGATTAAACATGGCGCATGGCGTTATTAAAGCATCAAAACTATTAGTGGCATAGACAGTCTGAACAAATTACACCACATAAATTTCAAGGGCTTGTTCGGATTTAATGGCAGATAAAAGAGCAAAGCTGCCCCAAAACTGAGAGAGAAAACTCGGCCACAAGCTTGTCCTGTCCAGGGAAGGAGGTTTTGCAAATGGGATCCAGCCTGTTTCGTGCTGTCTTGGCGCTGGGACGGGGTTCACTGGTGACCTGTCCCGTGTCAGCATGTTGGGGCAGCGGGTTTGCTTTTCCCTTAAATTCCTCTTTGTTAAATTTGACCCTCCAAACCATGGGGATCAAGATCCTGAGCTTTCATGCTCGGTGCAGGGCTGCTCTTTTTGCAAGGGGGATCACATTGCTCAGAAACCCCTCCCAGGAGAGACACCTCCCTCCCCCCAAAGCTGATCTCGCCCAAGGGTATTGTGCCTGTCCTGCCGCCACCAGGCTGATATCGCCAAAGAAAAATATAGAACTCAATGGCACTTGAAAGGAAATTTTTGGAGCAACGTTTGGGGATTTCCCTGAAGTGTTTGTTTTCATTTCAGGATATTTTGATGTCAGCTTCACTTAGCCTCTGCCCGGGGCTAGTGTCTGCTCCATGTCAGCAATGCTGTGGGTTGGTGTTCCTCAGCAAACTACTGCCAAACTACTGCAAACTACTGTCTCAGTCCTATGGAGGGCTTTTTTCCCTTCCTTTGGGGAGGAAAAATTAATTTATTCCAACTGAAGATGTTTTTTGGGGAGCTCCCTCCATCTCCCCTAATGAAAAAAAAAATAATCCCAGAAATGTGCTTTTTGACTGCATGGTGTAGAACAACCCAGGCTGCTGTGACTCTTGTTCCCCACACCAGCTGAGGCATCCTTGGCAAGTCAGGCCAGAGCAAAATATCAAAAACCCAAGAGAGGGGAACAGGGGAGAGAATCCACCAGGCTGGCAGAACTCCAGTGCCAGCCCTGCCTTCGCCATCCCTCCCAGCATCACTGCACGCTGCCTTACCATGTCTGTCAGCTCATGGGGAGACCTGATGAAGACTGAGATGACCTGTAAAAAAAGCAAAAATAAAAGTGTGCTTTTCCAATGCCTCATGGCATTTAAAAAAAAAAACCAACTAAAAATAACATAAAAATAAAATAAAAATGTCCAATACCTTGTTCTTCTCAAAATGAATCACGTCACTGGCACAGGGGACTCTGCCTTTATCCCAGTTGGAGGCGGTTTCAAAATTGGTGTTGGGGATCCACTGCTTGTACACGGCGGCAGCAGCAGCTGGGAGGAGCAGGGAAACCAGTGTAACCCAGTCCGTGGGAGGCACTGGGACCCTGTCTAAGATGCGCTGTGGGATGGCTTGGCTTTTTCAAGCTAGATTTGGGGATTCGCCACCCGAAAGCAGTCTGTATGCTCCAAGTTGAGCAGCCACAGCACTCCCCTCTGCACAGGGGATTTTTTTTTTTGGCTGGGTGATGGCTCCTATTCACTCAGGTAGGAGGAGGAGTAAGGGACAAAAACTTGGCAAGCAGAGAGAAGGCAGGACAGTCCTGCAGGCAATGGGCAAAAATAACACACACCTGGTACCTAAGCAATCATTTCAGTGGGTTTTGTTGCCACTTAGACTAATCAAGTGGGCCTGTGAGAACCTAATGAAGTTCAACAAGGCCAAGCGCAAAGTCCTGCATGTGGGTCAGGGCAATCCCAAGCATAAGTGCAGGCTGGGAGAATGGATCGAGAGCAGCCCTGAGGAAAAGGACTTGGGAGTGCTGGTGGATGAGAAGCTTAACATGAGCCAGCAATGTGCACTGGCAGCCCAGAAAGCCAACCATATCCTGGGCTGCATCAAAAGGAGTGTGGCCAGCAGGTCGAGGGAGGTGATTCTGCCCCTCTGCTCTCCTCTCGTGAGATCCCACCTGGAATACTGCATTCAGCTCTAGAGTCCTCAACACAAGAAGGACATGGAGCTGCTGGAGCAGGTCCAGAGGAGGGCCACGAAGATGATCAGAGGGCTGGAGCACCTCTGCTATGAAGACAGGCTGAGAGAGTTGGGGTTGTTAAGCCTGGAGAAGAGCAAGCTCCAGGGTGATCTTATTGCAGCCTTCCAGTATCTGAAGGGGGCCTACAGAAAAGCTGGAGAGGGACTTTTTACAAGGGCAATGGATTTAAACTGAAAGAGGGTAGATTTAGATTAGATATAAGAAAAAAAATTTCACTTTGAGGGTGGTGAGGCACTGGAACAGGTTGCCCAGAGAAGTTGTAGATGCCCCATCCCTGGAAGTGTTCAAGGCCAGGTTGGATGAGGCTTTGGGCAACCTGGTGTAGTGGAGGGTGTCCCTTCCCATGGCAGGGGAGTTGGAACTAGATGATCTTTGAGGTCCCTTCCAACCCAAACCATTCTATGATTCTATGATTCTAAGTGCACACAGACCCCTCATCCTTGGTGTTTCCAGTAGGTACGGAGTGGGAACAGAGCTGGCAGGACCACAAGGACAGGGCGAGAGGCGAAAGGGCATTTGTCACAGCACGTGTAGCACAAAATACAGTCTGGTTTCATGGGGCTGGGGGCAGGTGATGGAGTGCTGTCCTACAGCCTGACACTGGCAAATTGGGAAACAGAGGTCTTCCCCATGGGGCTTGCTGGCATAGCGGTGGTCCTGCCCATCGATACCCGCAGGGATGAGCCCACTGGCCAGGGACAGGCTGTGGCAGAGGCAGGTTTCCAGTCCAACCCACTCTGTTTGCATGAGCGCGGCAGAGCTGCACACCTCCCAGCCTGACATTGCTCAGTCTGGGCTGTGAGATGCACATCCAGCTGAAGGTGAATCTCCATCAGCCTGAATTAAATGGCTTCAGGCAAGTAAGTTATGAGACAGAACAGACGAAAGAAAAAGAAAAAAACTTTGCTCTTAATATGGATCATCTTTTCTTTAAAGGAAAAGCCCACAAAAGTACAAAATAGGTAGGAATCCAGTGGTGGAGAGGACCAGGCAACAGAGCGGGACTTGGGCGCTGGAGGTTGGGCGCAGACAGGGCAGGAGGGGTTGCAGGCGACCCTGGCCTGGGGAGGGAGTGGGGGATCTGAGTGTCTCTGGCTGCTGAAGGGAGGTGCACTGCAAAAATCCCAGGTCCTGATAGTCAGAACAAGGGGAGGGATGCGGCCAGCTGTGCTCCATAGGCTCCGCAAAGGCTCCATCAGCACGCAAGGATCATTGCTGAGCGTAATTCGCACTAACTGCCAGGGGCTCTGCTGAGGTCATCTGCTGTACATGGCCATGTTCGTGTGAAGAGGAAATGATATCTTTTTAACCTGAATGAAAGTCCTAATGGAGGAACAGGGGCTGGAGCCCAGATGTGAGGAGCACACGGGCTCCCCCAGCCCTGCACCGAGCTGTAGCCACCGCTTCCCGCTGCCTGAAGGAGCTCTCGGGCAGAGCAAACAGTCCCTGCCCCATACCTGCTTCAGAACCCACTGAGAGGGAAAAAGACTGTCACAGGGATAAGAACCAGACCCAGGCAGCTGCTTGCAGGGTTGTGGGCACAAGCATCTTGCTGGCTCCGAGTTGAAAAGAGCTTAAGAAAGGAAAAAGCCCGCAGGTGGTAATTGCAAGTTGTTCTGTCCCTGCTACGGATCACTTGTGTCCGTCCCCTCCCAGGAAGCTGTGGAACTGAGAGGTTAAGGCTCCAGCAGAAAAGCTCAGCTGGCCTCATTGCACACACACCTCGTGTTCCTGCAGCTGCAAGGTGTGGTGTGGAGCGAACTCATACCGTGCTGCACCGCAGCGACGGCTCTGGGTGCTGACCCAGCATGGCTAGGGCAGGGGCAGGGGCATCTCCTCCAGCCAGGGGCTCTGGGGCAGCAGAGGTTTAATATCCTGTTGCAAAACCTTTTCCCCCATGCAGCTGCGCTGATGCATTATGAAGCCATGGAAATATCAGTGTGGCATTTAATCAGCCTTGTCTCCAGGGAAGCGAAGTCCTTGAACATCAAAGCGACATGCATATTCAACAGAGAATGTGTCCTGCAGTGCAGAGCTGCCGGCTTCAAGTAAGAGCAGGAAAACTCGAGCTGCGGAGGTACAGTGGGCACGATACGCTAATCCCAGCCTCCTTCCCCTTCCCTCCGTCTGTTTGGAAATGCCTTTTCCCGTTCGCATTACAGATTTGCCTAAAGTGACAGAGCCCAGAGCTCTGCTCCAAAATAGCATTGCCAGAAGCACACTCGGACTGGGGAAGTGGTCCAGCTGTCACCCCTGCTCACCATGGTGGTTGAGCCCTGGGCATACTCACCAAGGAGCTGCAGGACACTGAGGAGGAAGACCAGACGCTTCATTTTGCAGCAGGCTGCCAGCCGGTGCCTCCGCAGCCCCTGCCCAGCCGGACCTTGGACCCTCCTCAGGGGCACGTGATGGGCTCAGCCCAGAGGAGGATGTGGGAGAAGGGAATAAACCAGAATGGGAGGCAGGTTTCCTCAGCACAAACCAGAGCCTTTCTCAGTCCCAGAAGCCATTTTCCCTCTCAGCTCCTTTCCCAAGCCCCCCATTTCCTGGGCATCCGTGGGGAGACTGGGAAAGCCACTAAGGAACAAGGTGAGGAGGTGAGACCAGTGGTCCCCCCAGCTCTGCTCACCAGACCCCCCATTCATGCCCCTTCCACCCATCTGGGTCGTGCTAAAGGGTGGCAAGCATGAACGGCACCGCATGCACGTCCCACGCCGGTCTCCCCTGCAGAATGCCGGCTACCTTGTAATTACTAATAATGGTCTCAATGTATTTCAATTAGCTCGCTCGGAAGAGAGCAGCTCCCAGCGACGACTTGTAATTGTACTTTGGCCACCAGCTGATTTGCTCATTACCCAGCGCACGCCATGGCAGCACTGGTGCAGCCCCACACTGCTTTTGTTGAGGCTGCCAGGGGTCAAAGGGGGCAGCTGGCGGCGGCATCAGCGCACGTGGCTGCAGGAGGAAGAGGAGGAGGAGGAAGGACCCCACCTTCCCTGTTGTCCTCTGCCCCAGCGTGGAGCGATGCTGCATGCAGGTCCAGGCTCATGTCTTTGCAAGGGTGTGTTCGGAGCAGAAAAGGACAGGAGGAGAGCAATGACAGCCTAGGAAGGGGACAGTGCGAGGATGGTGACAGAAGGCTGTGCCATGGGGAGAGCTGAGGGCTCAGCACCCCTCCAGCATGGACCCTTTGGCTGACGTGGGGTGACGCTTCGTATAAGCACAGTGAGGGCAGAAGACCTGTGAATGCAGGGGTTTAGAGGAGACTGGGAGGAGACTGGAGAAGTGCTTGGAAGGGCCATCAATGGAGGGGTCACAAACCATAAGCAGCAATGACCTGATGCCAGCGAGGATTTAGGAGTGCAGGAGAGGGAACAGGCCATCCCCATCCCACCCTTCGTGCTCCTGCTGCTTCTCAGTTTCCAACTGGGTAGAGCAAGGGGGAGTGGGGACCAGGGACCCATCACTCCTTGGAACTCTCTCTGTCTCCCAAAACCTTAACCCACTTGGTGTCATTTCCTACCTCTGCTGCAAGCGCAGGTGTGAGAAGAGCAGCAGGGCTCTTGACTCCAGGATGCCCCAGCACAGCCCCAGTCACCGCACCGTGCCCTGCCAAGGAAGATGGAGGTGCACTTGCCTGCAATTCCATCCCCACCGGTGTCGCAAGTGTGACCCGTGAATTGCCAAGAGAAAAATCCCTGGAGCAGCAGCTCTCAGCCCGGGCATCAGTCAAAACGCAGTCAGCACTTTCTGCGCAGGGAGCTGGATGCCGAGAGATGTCCTCGAGGTGAAAGGCTCCTGCACTCTCATTACCACTCACAAATCTCTCCTGGGGGACTCTCGGGGTGAATGTTGGCTGCAGTGAAGTCTTCTGTATTTTAACAGAGGGGCAAAAATAATATAAATCATGGATACTCAGTAATAACATCTCGGAGACAGGACTGCAGTGTGCAGAGCGCAGGGTGCACACTTGTCCAGCCTCAGCATCCAGTACAGCCAGGGCAGGTAGGAGGGGAGAAACCACTCACAGCACCCTGTGCAGTGAGAGATGCCATGGCCCCTGACACCTCATGTTTCAGGGGTGCTCCACACCCTTATTTTTACTTTTTGTGCCCTGTAGCTGCTGCCTTTAAGTGCGGCTCATTTCGGCTGCTCAGCAGCTCCGGTCCCAGCCCACTTCATCCAGCCCCTGCACTCGGGTAAGATTTCTTTTTATCCTCAGAGATGGATGGCCACCGCCATCTACCCTGGGACGCCTGCTAAAGGGGCAATGACCAGGGACAGGCTCACACCTTGCCTGTGTTCCCGCTGGCCAATGGCACAAGGAATGCTGAGACAGATGCCATTTCTACCAGCCAGGGCTGATCCAAATAATCTCCTCTGCGGGAGCTGCTTTGTTGGCACAAAGCAGCCATCGAGTGTCCACAGCAATGTCTGAAAACAGCTCCTGCCTCTAATCAGCACAGCCATGCTGTCAAAACATGCTTCCACCAGCTGCAACCAGTGTCAGGAGCTGAGGCCAAACACCACTTAACCCAATCTGCAGCCTGCAGGGTGGCAGTCGGGCCCCGCAGCCTCTTCTGCCTTTGCCATCCCAGCCGGTGGGAACTCAGCTTCTGGTTTGGGCCATTCCCTGTTTTTGGAAGCCTACGGGACATGTGAGAGCAAGCATCAGAGTCCGACATTCACCACTGCCAGAGGTCATCCCAAAGGAGCAAAGAGCTGGGTGGGCTCATCCTCTCCAGGCGTCATGTTCACCAAGGGGGGAAAGGGAAGACACTCAGGTTATTACCTCTTTTGGCCAAACAACAAGGACAAGCCAGATGCATTACTCAATGGTGACAGCCCCCAGGGCTCAACCCAGGCATGCAGGATGGAACCACACAACTGACTCACAGAAAACCAGCTTTGGGGAAGGACAGGGGAAAACACCTCTTTTGCGACTTGTTTTGACCACCAGATATTTCCTGCTTCTTTAAACAATTCTAGGACTTGGTCACAGCGAACCAGGCTATGCTGGAGAGCAGGAGATAGGTCCATCTGCAGGACCAAGAAGTCAAGAACTTTTGAAAGTGCTTCTCTTCACCAGACAGCAAGGCTTGAAACACTGCAAAACTTCTAAACAATTTAAAAAATCCCCCTGCAATTCTTGCAAGAGATGGCCCCAGCAGCAGGTCCAGGCTCAGGCAACGTATTCGTCTGCACAGCACCCTCTGTAGACCAGGAGAGCTCCTCACCTGCTCTCCCAGAGCTGACACTCTGCACTCATCGCCCTAAATAATGTATTGCCCGGTGGGGGAAAGCACGCTGCAAAGCTGCTGGCTGCCTTCCGTGACCTGTCACGAAGAAGAAACCTTCTATGAAGACTCATTCTTGCCAAGAGCAGCATCATGTACCATTTCAATTACGATTCATGGCCGGGGGAGGAGGAGCAGGGAGGCGAAGAGAGAATCGATGTTCACCTTCACCTTTAAAGCAACTTGTTTCCTCTCCACCTATCTTGCCGCACTGTAATGACACAAGTGTCACGTCTGAGCGGCACCAAGCAAAAAAGTTGGGGAGGAGGAGGAGGAGCTCTGGGGACAGCAAAGGCTGCTCTTCCTTAAGAAGGCTCTGCTTGAAGGTAACCCACTTCGTTAAAGACAAGGAAGTTCACCATCTTTTCCCGCTCCACAGCGAGGGGATGTGAAGAGCTTTAGGTGGCGCAGCCTCGAGTGCCGGCTGTGGGAGTACAAGCGGAAAGTGTGATGAGCAGGGCAGGGGATGCCAGAGCATCCAGTCACTTGCCACTGACTGCTCTCCGCAGCAGAAAGGAACACCCACCTCTGCACATCCTGCGCACGGCAAGGGCGGCACTTCTTAGCCACCCTTCCCTCTCACCGTGCCCACCTCCCTGCATTCGCCTTTCCTCTGGCGTCCCCGTTGACTCAGGAAAAGGCACTCGGCCAACCCTGCATTTTCAGACTACTGTCTGCAAACACGGGTGTTGGCTGGCTGGGTAGTGTTCACGTTTGGGTGCCGGCAGCACGGCAGTGGCTTTTCCCAAGACACTGCAGTCTTGCCTCTGAGCACAGGCAGGGCATTCCCACATTGCTAAACCCAGTATTACCCCTGTAGCAATGTGACAGAGGGGAAATGGGAATTTCGGTAAGAAAGGGGTGGGAGGGAAGAAGAAACGGAAGGAGAGACAGATCAGCGTAGTGCTCAGCAGAAGTGACACGCTTCATACACCGCCACTGGGGCTCAGGGTTTTCACCACTGGGCTGAATCTGAAATGTGGTGGAAATATTACTGCTTCGCTCATTTCAAAACACTGTGCTGCTTTTACAGACTGCGCTGTGTTCCATAACTTCAAGCACACACCTGAAATGTATTTCTGAATGGAGAAAAGCGGAGTCACTAATGACACCAGAGAAGAAAAAAAACTAAATCCATGTTTTCAGACATTCCAGCCACACTCTTCTTTCCCACACCTCTTTGGGAAAGCGGTGTACACAAATGCAGGAAAAGCCATTTCAATTATTTCTACTCTATTTGCACGAGGACTCTTGACACTGACGTTAGGATGAACACCATCACCTAGTTTATTCTAGCAGAGTTATCGCATGGGAAATCGGTCTCTGACAAAAGTTACAGCAAGTTTTCTGTGAAGACGAAGGGAAACGCCACAGTAAAGGTCTATTGGGTGCATAAGAAGAAAGCAATGAACAGCCAATGTGCCGTGGCTTCGGAGAGGAGAAAGGATGCAGCTTGGCCACTTGCAAGTCAACAGCAGTCATTCAAATTCAACACACCAGTTTTTTTTTAAAAAACATGATTTCCTACTTAGATTTATTTTTCCTTTAATAACACAGTTTAGCATTTCAGAGTTTGGCATTCTACACTCTTACACACTGTCCTTGTTTATTAGCATTTAAACACAAAAAGACATAGCAAGACCTCCAAACACAAATAAATACAAAAACACAATATACAATAAACTGAAATACAACATATAATAATGCTATTGGGAAATTAAGACATGTTGCTAATTCCTTTTTTTTATTATTATTTTAACAACATGGTTATTGCTGAGCAATAAATTATACATTTTAAAGTTGTTTTTCCCCCTAAAAGAAAAGGACGAGAACCACTGGTTACCAGATCACTTGCACTGTATCCTTACAGCTATTGATAATTAAGACAGGCAGAATATACACAATCAAATGAGGTTGGCCTTCTTTGGTCTTTGTTTTTGATCATAAAACTGAACACAAGTGTACCGTTCACTGAAGAGTATGAGATTAAAGAAATGGATACACAAGTTTCAAACACATTAATTTGTACATTATTC